TTTTTTAGGGTCTACAAGTACGCCACAAGGGCACTTTTTCTATGGCTCATTGATTATATCCAGATGTATCGGTCGATTGTCCTTTTCGACCGTCTTCATTGTTTATGTCTTTGCCCTTGGTATTTCTAATGACCCAGCTAAGGCTTAAACACGAGAATTGTCCAGTGTTGTACTTGCCAACTGTCGACACCTTTGAAAGTGGTGCAAAGTCAAATAGTCTAGTTTTCTGGGTTTCTTATTAGAACTCTTCGCCTAATTGTCGTCGACTACAGTATCAACAGAGTTAGGTTCGTGCCGTGGCACTTTATAAAACATCCCATTAGACTTTTTTTCAAGCGAGATGTGTTGAGATTTAGGGTTTTATAGTCAGATTTCTTCATCGCCAAATCTCAGACCTCACGTCAGTATGTTGCACTTACCTGTAGCTTTGCCTGATATGCGATGCAACAGACGATCTTATTCCTCATTCCCCTGTTATTAGTCGCTCAGGGGTCCTACAATTTGTTGCCAGGTTCCGAATTCGTCACTCTCCCTCTCTCTCTCTCTCACTTCCTGTCACTATTGGGTATCTATGTTTATAAATTCCAGCGTTACTAATTTGCTCCATATTGGTTGTAAAAGAAATTCATAACAAATTCGTAGGGAAATTTCAATAGTTTACAACTGTTTATATTTGGCGATTGTTCGACGAATCACCAATACATTTCATTTAAGTTTTACGCGTTTACAGTCTGGTTTACGATTGCTTGCACGTATTGTAAAACGTGCGAATAAGAACAAACTGTGATGCTTCAACAACATTTATGAGCAATTCGATAATACACAATGACCCTTATCTTTGTGGTTATCTTGGTATTGTCGCACTAGGGGGGCCAACTCCGTGGGAGACGAACCAGTCTAGTGACAGTAAGAAGACATGGTCTCTAAGAGATGACGCGATTCGGCATAATTGTAATACTATATAACATTTGGGACAAAGTCACTAAATGTACATTCTGGAGATTTGGTCCAAACCCAAGAGAGAAAGTGTATGTAATCTAAGGTACAAAGCGTAGTATGTACATTTGGCGACAATTTCATAAATTTGACAAGGGCAGATTTTAAATCTAGTACACGACAACCGAACAAACTTCTTCAAGTAGAATATTACGATGGTCTTTTAAAATGTTACCGAAGAAAACTTCCCTATTTAAGACCAGCGGGATCCATTGAAGCTCACGGGCCCGAAATAGGCACTCTACTGGAGGTGTTGGACGTCTCAGGCCATGGTGAAGAAATTTTTGACTGTGAACGTGTGGCCAATTTGTATACGACTTTGGGCACGGAGCATCACGGTACAATTAATGCCGGACCATGATGTCTATGAGAGGCCTAAAACATCTGAACTGGAATTCGTGATAGAAACAGAAGATTTCAAACTTGCCTGGCAATGCGAGTGACATCGAGAAATGGCTGAGCATGCAGACAAGTGAAGCAGTTTGCGCATTTTCTCCTTATTACTAGACACAAGATGAAGTGAATACCACTTTACCAGCGCTTGTGCTCCTTTTACAAGCTGCGCTTATGTTCTAGAATACGAAGGGGCGTAAAGCACAATACGATCGTAAATTGAATGAAACGCCCAACTATGATTAATAGGTATCCCTTTATCTAAATGGCTACAACGCTAATGCCAGGGATGAAGGCTGCAGGTAGTCCAGGACACAGAAGCAAAACTTTATTACAAATAGTTTGCCGCTTGGCTGGCTACAACTCGATTGCTGACCTCAAAGATATGTCGACCTTGACGAGTAAGATTTAGACTTGGTGCATTCGATATAGAAAATTAGTTTACAAAACATGATGCAATCGATAATACTGTTTCTATTACTGTGTCGAATGACGCAGTGTAGAAATAGTGGTGTGAGAAACACAAAGGCGATTTAAAGCCATAGTACAGACCGCTGTTACTTTCTGACACGCCTACCCGAGCAGGGTGGCGCTAAAAAAAAAAGGGGGTGATAAATCTTGTGGAGGTGCACGGAAAGTGGAAGCATACTACTATCGAATGTCGCATATCCTCATGAATGTTTGATGAGATGCTTGGGAACGCACAGAGTCAGTCAACGCTCGAAAACTCAAATGAACAATAAACTACGGCCATGAATGTTCGACAATACGCAATGTGAAGGTGAGCACTTACTCAGAAACTGATCTACCAGAAATGAGATGAATAGAGTTTCTAAGAAGTGTGGAGCGGGGTCAACCTAGTTTGACCCCAAATGTCGAAAATATTGTACAGCAACAGGAGGACGCTCAAGTAATTATTGAGAAAGAGAACATCTCGAAATAACTTAAAACGTGGGCTCTAGTGATGATTGAAGGGTCCCTTTAAAACAGGGGATTGTTATGAGGACAGGGAGGTACATATTAACAATTGGAGATATAAGTATATGGATATAACCTTCAGGAATTCAAGTGAAAATTACGTCTGTTTGCTAGACGACGGGGCGCAGCTTTCGCTCATAGATTTGGATGCATTGAAGAATATATTATGTTATGATTCCGATTATGTTCTAAGAATTGAACCCTCAAGAATACGTTTGTCAGAAGTAGGTGGTGTCAAGGTTGTGCAATCTAAGGTAACGATAAAATAGAATGCGCAAAAACTTTACCATAGCCACAGATTCGTAGCACTTGGAAGAATGTCCTTTAGCGAGATTCAGTTCCTGCTGGACATGGCTTTTTATAATCACTATGTTAAAAGTGCGGACAGAGTGCTTAATTAATCACGTCTGCACGATAGAAGTATAATCAACTACTACAGATCAAACAGAGAACGGCCGAACATCATGCAGAATTGTCTAGAATTGAATGATCGTAAGGTATTCAATGCCAAATTAGTGGGTTGTCACGAGCTCGAGCCGATGACTTTACGGTCGATTAAGGTTAGAGTGGAAGGAGTGGCCACCGTCTCTCTTTACGCTAAACGATGAAGGTGAAAGTTTTTTCCCACTGAGGTATTGTGCTTGAGTGACCCTCTAATATGAAATGATTTGAAGTCATATGTTCGCATATAAATATACCAGAGGAAGTCGATGGTTGTCTGTGTCGTAGTATTTTGGCGGGTAAGAACGCAGACCCTCGATAGAGCCCCATTTCCCCGAGGTAGTAGGCGTGTCGAAGTGATCCTTGCCCCATTTAAATTAAAAATTCGGTCATCTTTTCTCTTCGAGATGGTGTTCGAGAGTCCTATCATCTGATCCGTTTCGGAAGTGGTGCAGCACTCTCTTAGAGCTTATTTTGCAGGTGATGGGTATGAAGCCCTCGATCCTGTTTACTTGCGGAGGTCGTGTTTTAACAATTCAGTTGCTATCTGGCTATTTTTTCTTACTGGAAATTTGTAAGCTTCCGGTCAGATGGTGGAGTTCATTCTGTACCGTCAACGGCTCCCGAACCTTCAATGAATGCCCTATTTCACGAACTACGTATAATTTTATTGACCGATGCAATAGTTATCAGCCGGTAAATAGCAAAATACACTGGTGTTCGTCATTGCGTGGTCTGTGGTACGCTTATCACAGGCGTCATGGACCCAGAATTTACAATCGGAACATATCATTAGTTATTACGTGAGGCCGGAGGCTCCCTGGTCGCCATTATATGTGAAACATAACAATTTGAACATCACTCGGAAGCTGCAATGAATCCTGGAATTGTAATACAAACAAGACGCCCCAATACATACGTCAATATGACCGTTCGTCATGATCGAAGCATTCGCGGGATTTTTGTCCTTCGGTTATCATATTTGTTTGAGATCTGGATGAAACCGCTGTCAAATAGAATAAAAACGCAATTAAGCAGCCACCACGTGTGTCAATTATACTACCGGTTGCGTACTCATGGAAAACGGTACGCATTGCTGCAATTTATTCAGCCATGTTATTCACGGGACTGAGTGTATTGTAAGCTCGAGGGTGACTTGTGTTTTTATTGTCTTCTATACAAGCAGATCATGTTAAAGCTGGATGTAATACGGTTGTGATCATCGATAACATAATGGGTCGTGTCTTAAATGATATGACAAACCAGCTCAAATGCTTGCACTTCAGGTAGTACTCGGGGCGAATTGTGCGATCTGCCTACCAATTTGTAATATTCTGCTGAGGAAGTTCTCTCTCAAAATTTTGAATTTTGAAATTGTTTTCGATCACATTGACAATTGCGATGTAGGTACTGCTTTGGACATCTATGAACTGAAAAATCCTCAAAAGCATGCGGCAACACCGGAAGCAAGGCTGGTGGGTATAACGAATACGAAATCTGAAATCATGGTGTAGCCAAAATTAATCAGGAGCCTTTTCTTGGGCTACTATAAAGGTTTAAACTAACGATAGTTCATTTTTTCCTATTCACATCGGTCAGTCTAGAATCCTATACTGTATTGGAGATATAGATCACAGCTTACCCGCTTCCTGAGCGCCTAACATTGTCATTTTTTAACCGACATAGCTGCGTGTATCTGCAGATGAGTTCGTGTCGAGGCGCTAAGCTGCAATAGAATCCGAGGCAAGTAGAGCGGCATCCTCAAGCAATATATACGTATGTGGCTCTTTTCAGATCATGTATATATTCCACAGGACTATATGAAAATGGTGATTAATATCGCTTTTATAGTCATGACCATCAATAAGAACAGATTCATGTGCACGCGAGACAATAATGCAGCTAAAAAATAAGATACAATTTAAATCTAAATTAATGCCAAGAACAGCCTGTCACAATTCATAACGCAGACGTATCCCTTTGTTGTATCTAATACCTTTTGTTCGTGTTTGTTTATGAATACACACAAATTTCCAGCTTTGAAGACAACTGGAATTCTCACAAGCATTATTGCAAACATTTGCAGCACACAGTGTTTTGGATAAATTGATATTATTATACAGCGGCAGTAGTTATTGGTAGTCGTTATACTTTATTCACCGATTCCAAACGTAGCTCGCGCAAAGTGTGATTCTTCAGGTTCGGATGGCGGCTTGATTGTTTTCTAAGTCGATCAACTGTGGAAAAGTGAAGTCAAACTTTAGCCTGGTTTTACGAAAAAGAAATCTGTACTTGCGCATATACCTACAACAGAATCATCAAATATCAGCATGTGGCACACTGAAGACATTGTCACATCGCGAGTAAACAGGTGTGCGTGTTCTTGCCTGAGCTATTCAAAACATACCACAGATACTCCTTCGCGTATGCAGGTGTGTATAGTAATCTCATGCCGATGTTTAAGCATGCTCTTTCAATGGGGCGATAACATTACTCTAGAAATCAGGAATAAATGTACAGGCATACCAATCACGGTATGTACAACGCAAAGTGCACAACCAGGTCATTCTGTGCCTGCCACAGCAACAAGTCACTTACATGCGTGGTTTTCTCGACGAGACCCATAAGTTTGTCGATGTCAGACACCCATTTGTCCAGCACTTCATTGGCCTCCTTCTTTTTTTGGAAGCTCACTATGCCGGCGGGACGATCGTACCTGGGACGGAATGGCAAGGAGCGCAGACACAGAAGTAGGTAAGAAACGACAGACAAAGAAGTAGGTAAGAAACGGCAGACAAAGAAGTAGGTAAGAAACCACAGACAAAGAAGTAGGTAAGAAACCGAAGAAGCACCATAGAGAAGCAATTGCAGCACAGTGGACACACGCTCTAGCAAGTACAAAAAACATGACAATGGAACACTGCCTATGAAAAAGAAGAAGGAGAAAAAAGAAGAAAAGGAAGCATGACCAGTACATCAGCATACAGAGCATAACCCATCTGCAAAGGGGCGACGGAGAGACTCGGCTCAAGACACGTCACATCCCAGACAACCAAGAAGACACCTTTATGCGAATTACTCCAATACAATTGAATTTGGAGCATCTGGACACTAAAACGGACCACAAATGCATACACATACATACATACATACATAAATAATATATATATATATACATTACATCTATACATACATATATTTATACATATACTTATACATACATATATATATTTATATATATATATATATACATACATACATATATAATATATATATATACATATACATCTATACATACATATATTTATACATATACATATACATACATATATATATTTATATATATATATATACATACATACATACATACATATATAGATACACACACACACACACACAGAGACACACGTGCACACAAAACATTCAAACCATGCAGGTAATAATGCACGGCCCTACCTCGCATAGATCATCTTCTCGGTCACTAGCTTGGACACATAAGCCTCAATCTCCTCGGCCGTGGTGTCCATGAGACGAATGAGACTCGTGACGGGCACGCGCGTGTAGGATTTGGCGATGACACGCATATTATGCTCAGCTACTCGCTTGCGCAGCTCATCTGCGCGATGCTCGTGCTTGGAGAAACAGTCCAGTGTTTTCAACTCGGGCACGTACAGGTCCATCATGCATGACCACGGCTGTCAGTGTGCATGGGCCAGTGCAGGGTAGGGGGGGGGGGGGGGGTGGGGTGGGAGTTGTATGGTGAGCTATTTGGTAAATCAATTACGTTGTATCACTATATATGTACTTATAGTAGCAGTCCAGTGGGAATACAATGTATCACTAAATATGTACTTATAGTAGCAGTGCAGTGGGAATACAATGCATCACTATATATGTACCTATAGTAGCAGTCCAGCGAGTAAACAATGTATCACTATATATGTACTTATAGTAGCAGTCCAGCGAGTAAACAATGTATCACTATATATGTACTTATAGTAGGAGTCCAGTTAAAATACAATGTATCACTATA